TTGTCAACGCTTCCCAATTGGACGCCTAAAGACATACGAGAGTCTCAACTCGAGAATGTAATTCAATTCACACTATTCTCTCTCTCTCATGAGAATTATCTAACAATTGGTTTGCGTGTGTTTTGTCGCCCACAGGAGCTGAAAGAGTGTTGTGGCCGTGTGTTTATCGATAGCGCGCCCGAGTTTTGTATACCCGAAGTCAGTGTTTGTATTACTTGTCTCATAATAACACGTGAACTAATAGACTGTGTTTTTTTGTGGTGATCGCCGGCCAGACGTCGACCATTAACTTGAAACACGTGGATGTGATACTGATCTCCAATTATCAGTCAATGTTAGCGCTTCCGTACATCACTGAACGCACAGAATTCAATGGCATTGTGTTGGCCACTGAACCCACTCTTCAGATCGCCAAACAATTTATGGACGAAATGGTTAAATACATTGAAAGGACGCCCAAAGCCAGACAGGCGTCGCTCTGGAAGAAGTCCAACGTTTATAAACACATTCCTCTGGCTTTCAATATGGATAGCAATCAAAATAGTAAACCATTTCTGTGGCAACAGATCTACTCGACTAAAGAGCTCAACAATTCTCTCGCGAAAGTCAAAGTGATTGGATTTGCGGAACAAATAGTAATTTCATTTTAATAGCATTTTTAAGTGTTATTTTGTTAAATATTTTTATTCATTAATATAAGGATATCTTTGGCTCACTTCAAGCGCAACCGTTTAGCGCCGGCTATTGTATCGGTTCCTGCAATTGGGTTATCACTAGTAATCACGAGAAGATTGTCTATTTGTCGAACTCATCCACACTCACAACACACCCCAAACCCATGGATCACATTCCTCTGCGGAATGCGGACGTTCTGGTGCTCAACAATTTGAGTCAAACACCACACGTCAATCCCGACTCAATGTTAGGCGAATTTTGCGTTAATATTGGTATTAATCTCTTAAATATTTTAATATAGATTATAATTTTTATACTCAATAAATCTCAACAGCGAAAGCGCTTCAAACGGGTGGCAATGTTTTAGTTCCCTGTTATTCATCTGGTGTTATATACGATCTGTTTGAATGTCTGGCTTTACATCTGGAACAGAGCGGACACGTATCGGTTCCCATGTATTTCGTGTCTCCAGTGGCGGAGCACTCGTTGGCCTACTCTAACATATTGGCCGAATGGCTCACAAGCAACAAACAGTCCAGAGTTTACATTCCCGAAGGTATTACCCCATCGATAGTGTAACGAATGTATTGTACAATTTGTTGTCCAAATACAGAGCCCTTTCCACACGCGGCGCTCGTACGCGGCGGACGACTAAAACATTTCTCAAGCATTAGTCTCGACTCATTCAACACTGAATTCAAAACGCCTTGTATTGTATTCACTGGTCATCCGTCCCTTCGTTTCGGTGATATCGTTCACTTAATCGAATTGTGGGGCAATTCGTCCAATAATCTCATTGTCTTTACCGGTAATTATAAACATTAGAATTAAATTCATTAAGTAATTAATTAAAATACTATGAAATAATTTTAATTACTATGTTTATAATGTGTAATTCAGAGCCTGATTTTCCATATATGGAAGCGTTGTCCCCATACCAGCCGTTGGCAATGCGTGTGGTTTACTGTCCGATCGACACGAGTCTTAACTTTTCTCAAGCGAACAAATTGTTACGTGATTTGAAGCCTAAAAATCTAATAATCCCTCAAAGCTATACAACTCCGCCGCCACTTCTTAAACATCGGACAGATTTGGTGATCGATTGCGAGGCAACTGTTTTCTCATACAAACGAAATAATGTCATAAAACTGCCGATTAAGAGATGTTTCGAAAGAATTGATATCGAATCCGATGTAAAGAGTTTACCACAAGTTTATGAACTAATTATAAACTAATGTTTGAATTGATGTTCACTTATAGTTGGCGTCCAATCTATTGCCAGTGGAAGTGCGTTCGGGTGTGAGTATAGCGACAGTGACGGGCTCTCTGATGGCCAAAGACAACAAATTCAAGCTCCAGAAGTTGACCAAATCTCAAATGCATGAACTGACGAGTGAATCGCCCACTCATACCCTTCCGCCCATTAACTACACGTGGGGTTCAATTGATTTGCCGCTCTTTATGTCTCTCATATCAAAGGCTGGCATTTATGACGCCGTCGTCGACCAGAACCCAAACGGATGTGTCGTTCATATCGTAAGTTTGGAATTCTTCTCATTTTTTAGTGATATATGTGAAAGAATTTTAGCCTTTTTTGTCGATTTGTCGGCGCTTTATATCCCTATTGAAGGCTATCTCTAGTACTGTATTCTCTCATAAACTTATTTTTATTTGTCGTTAAGTTTGTTTTATTGCTTCAATTTTATTCATTTCAAATCATTATCTTATTTTTGATAAAATATATGTATTTCTTATTTGGAATTAATTAAGACTAAACACAAAACTTTTCCAATTTTTGTTTATTTTTATTAATTTTTAGATAATTTTAGTTTAATTATGAAATAGTTATTTATTTTGTTTATACTATTCATTAATATTATTAGATTATAGAATAATACTTGTTTTAATTAATGAATAAATCCGCAAAAGTATTAATTATTTTTATGTTAAATTATTTATTCTATAATTAATTTATAATGAGTTTTGTTTTACTCATTCATTGAGCCATTTATAGGATTATTCATTTGTATTGCATTTAAAGCAAATGATAGAAATAATTATAAGAGAAAGCACTTTGAATTTATTTTCATGTCATATGATTGCTATTATATTTGGATAACATCTGCGAGAATCTCATTCCTAATGAATGTGTATTTAATGTTAATCTTAAACAGAGATCTCATGAGACTGTGGTTCAGATGGAGGAGAACTCAACAACAATAGTGTGTGACTCGAACTCCAAGATTCGGCTCATCTTAAGAGACATTATATCCGAGTGTCTGAAAAGAATATAAAGATTTGGCGATTCATTAGGAGATGTGTTGTTACGAGCGGTCGAAACCACTGAAGACTACTTCAGAACCTCTTTCATCTGTTTTTCCATTAATTGAATGTGTTTTGAGTCAAACTTAACCGATATTTATATGAGCGCGGAGTCAGAAGATAGCAGTAATAGTAGTGGTTATTGTCTGCCCACCCATACTATCACTACTGCCAGTGCACTCTCTCTCTATGCTGTTCTTCAGTAAAGATGAATGAAATATAGGCAGTGAAGTGAGTACTGGTGTGTATATACTGTATATTATTCTCGATCCTATGCCTGTCCTCTCACTTGAATGTGACTTTGATTTGGACTGCGCTTAACCTCTACTTAAAATCTAAACACTACTCTTCATACCAAATACACACCTGTTCTCACTTTTCCCAAATCTATTAAACACTTCAACAGATATCCCATATATTAATCGATTGTTTGAAAATCTAAATCTATTCATATATTTCTGTGAAAAAGTTTGTCATTTTGTGATATGATTTTCAACAAAGTTTATTATGTGTCCGAAAAATGTCATTCATGTAAATAGTGTTTTATATTTAGTTTTGTGTAAAACAATAATGTTTAACCAGTTTTGACAAGAATTTGTATTAAAATTCACAATTATTTGTAACATTAGGTGAGAACTGAATGTTGTTTTATTTAAAAACTATTTTTCCGGCGCTTTTTGCCAAACAAATATGATGTTTACTTTAGCCCTCGCTTTCAATGCAATGAATCTTTAGAGCCAATGACAACCGCTTTTACTCTATTTTCTTATTGTTTATTCAAATTTGTATTTTTATATAATTATTTGATTCTGTATTCAAATTATACGATCTTTGATATAATTTGTTAATAACTATAATATTGAGAGCAATAAATTTAAAGAAAGTATTTTCTCTATAATTATAAGAGAATCTAATGTTTGGCGAGGAATGGTATGCTTTCAGGCAATACATAAGCGTAAACATAATCTATTGGAGAAAAGTTTAGCGCTTTAGGAGAGAGCGAGAGAGAGAGAGAGAGTGAAGTGGAGGATGTGCTGAATGGGAGGCTTAAGGCAGAGGCAGTACAGACATTGGCATTCCTTATTGCCAATTGATCCTAAAATTGATGTTTACGAGGTATTGGTAAATGTGTGCACTGTATGGCCAGTGTGTATGTGTTGTCTTCCATCCAGTGGACCAACGATCTCGATGTTTGGCCAAAACTTGTGAATACCAGTAATACCAATAAAGTGGGACTGTTTTGCATTTAGTTTGCATATTAAGGTGTGTTTCGCAACTCTACGTATAGTTGTCTCGCATTTTTATGTCTACAATATATGTATGGATTGGGAGTTGGCTTTCATAATATAAAATATGACCGAACATAACATACATACATAAGTATTAGCCATGGGTTTGCATAATTGCCGGCGCGCTCTGCGCTCCTGATTACAGCCATTTGACTGAAATAACCTTATTTTTGTTGAAAACGATTGACGATTATTAAAGCCAATACAGAATATGTTATGATTTTGTTTAATACCATTTCGTAATATTCTTTCACTCGAAGCCAAACCCCTTTGCAAAGCCATCGCTACCACTGTTTCACTCAGGGATTCCTTTTGGCAATTCGTTTGTCAGCGTTTATGCCGCTCATGCCTTCTCTCTCTCTCTCCTAAAGCGCTAAACTTTTCTCCAATAGATTATGTTTACGCTTATGTATTGCCTGAAAGCATACCATTCCTCGCCAAACATTAGATTCTCTTATAATTAATAAGGAATGCCAATGTCTGTACTGCCTCTGCCTTAAGCCTCCCATTCAGCACATCCTCCACTTCACTCTCTCTCTCTCTCTCTCTCTCTCTCTCTCTCCCGAAATACTTGTGCCAAACATTTTCACATTTAATATGTTGTGAAAAGCCTTTTATTGCATTGTTGTTAAATGCGGCCCAACTTACAAGTGGTGGCAAAACTTGTGTCACAACTCGTCTCTCTTTCCTTTCACTTCACCTCTTCTACTACTCCTTCCCCTCGAATCCAATCATAAATTCTTATCTCTATTATGGATGCCATCGATTGACTGCAAACCGATAGCAATAAACGCTAACTTTTATTCTCATTTAAAACATTTGTTCGTTTGATTCGTGTTCACACTTTTTGTCGATTAAAACCCTAATTGATTTCAAATGATTTGATTGCTATAAATACGTTGAAAAATGCAAAGTCCTCAAAGTATGCCATAAAGACATTTATATAATAAGTTTTGACAATAATATTCAAAGTGTTTGGTTTTGAAACGACTATTGGTCTCGAAATGATTTATAAGTTTCTGTAAGTAATCATCTGAACACTCATTTCGTTAAAACTACTTTCATAGCAGCTTTTAATGAATGACCAATTTTAACATATATTTATATCATTTGTTTTAAGCTATAATATTTTTACAAGATATTATTTTGATAATTAATTGTAGACTATTTATCAATTTAAATTATTAAAAAATATTTCTCAAATTACTAGTTATGTAATGCTTTAAATGCGAGTATTTAAGTGATATGAGATTTTTTGTGTGAAATCAAAACATTAAGAAATACTTGTAATAATATTCATCGTTAAAAATTTTCTTTCTTTTTGTTGTTTTAACAAATCTTGTGTTCAAATGAGAAATCGTTTTGTGTTGGAATTTACAACAAAATTATATTTTATTCCCAGTCTATACTTCAGAGAAGTTTTTATTATTAAAAAAAACTTTGATCCAAACGAGAAGAAAAAGATTATATGAACACAAAAAACTGACAAATTGTTCCCAAAAGTCTGTGATCTCAAGTGTTTTCGTGAAGTGAATGTATTTTTACAATAAGTCTGTGCTCTTAGTCTCCAAACATTTAAATCTATTCCTCAATGCAAACACTTTTTTGGTTCAAAAAATGTCAGAAAAATATTGCGGTTCTAAATAATGCCATTATATTTGGGTTTCAATGCAATGACAAATAAAAATAATAACAACAAAAACCCAAAACTACAGTTCCGTTAGTCTGAGATATTGGCGACACTTTACACATAAACTAAAAATTTATTTTTTATATAGAAATTCTCTCTCTCTCTCTCTCTCTCTCTCTCTCGCTTTTTTATTTTTGTCTGTGTTTGTGTTGGAGATAAATGTAATACAAATGTAATTATTTAATTAGAAACATAGGCACCGAAATCCTTGTCTCGATATAAATTTGATTTTAATCTCATAATTGATGCCAATTTCGAGCA